CACAGACCAGCAGTCTCCCTTTTTCCTCAGCCAGTGTGCCAGGAACACTGTGGACGTCTTTGTTTGGAAGGGATCAGGTTGAGGGGCAGCCCCCAGTCCCTCTCTGTCCCAGCTCAGTTTGCAGAAAGCACTGACATGTAATTCTTCTCTATTGTAAGCTTTCCATTTAGTTTGCTTCCTATGATTAAATCTAAGTCATTTGAAAAAAAAAAAACTTGCTATGTCTTAGTCATTCGTATAAAACGTTTGAGACATGTACATACCACTTTTAAACCAGGGCATTTATACATGCTGCTGAATATATTTGCAGTGTCTTTCTAAGGATTGTACTGGGATCTTTCCATGACCTTCAGAGGGGTGAGCTCTGCTTTGGATAAGTATCATAGTGCACCATGACAGGAAGGGAGCTATGCGTGAAGGCAAAGAGCACGGCAGTTCAGATCGCTGCTGCTTACTAGTTGGGGACCTCTGACTAGACGGTTACACCGCCCACCTAAACCCCAGGTCCCTTAATTATAAAATGAGGATCATAGTAGAGAATTATGAGAACCAAATTTTTAAAATGCAAATAAAGCACTACTTGCCTAGTACGTACATAAAGAACTCAATATATCTTGGCCAATATTATTAACCAGTAAATTGTCTACTAAATATATTTTTAGCTTTTTCATCAGTAGTGACTATAATTTTTTTAAATTAAAGAACCATGGAGCACCAACTTTGGTTTACTATGTTTTGGTTATTATATTCAAAACGAGTATGATTTGTTTCCTATGACTACAGAAAATATATGCTTATTGATCTTAAAATTATAAATGTAATAGGGGAAATAACCCATTCAAACAATCCATTTATATTATTATTGCTTTAATATATATTCTGAAACACTCTTACTTGATAACAGCATTACTCTCTGGTATGCTTATCTTCTGTTTTGTTAATATACAGCCGTAGAGCTCTTGTTTGAGGACCTGTATTCATAAGCTAGCTATAACATGAAAAGACAGCTTTGAGTTTGAGAAGCAGGAGACTGGAGATGAAATTTCTAGCCCCAACCTGCTGTAGTCCACTCTTTGCCAAGAAACTCTATACTTATTTTTGTATCTGTGGAGAAATCATAGACATTAAAAGAATGAATGTACAAAGTACTTTAAACAGCGCTGGTACATAAGAGGCACTTAAAAGCTATCATTAGATAGAGCATGCAAGGTGCCCTAAATATATTTTCACATAAATAAAAAGCAACTCATAGAATTAACTATGTGTAATTTTAACCCATTTGTATAAGAATAAAAAGTATATAATAATATACGTACTTACATTTTGTGTTTTGTACCAAAGCACAAAAACTTTTGAAAGGCTATACATAAACTTGCTAACATAATTATCTCAGGAGGAGATTTCTACTGGCTCTATAATGTTTCAATTGTTAAACATAATTATGTATTGTGCTATTAAGAAATCAATAAAACTGGTTCAATTTCAAAAATACACTTCTGAGGCAAAAGATATGAAAAAAGGAGAAAAATAGAGAACCAACAAAACCCCTGGTTTTCAGGAAGATGATAATAGTTATTAGGTCGTTGTGGTAAGAAAGAGTTTAGAGCTTACAATACGGATAGCAGTATATTATAGGAAACCTAAAGTTACAATTTCCTCTTTTAAGGAGAAATTATGTGTGTGATTTAAAGAAAGATATACAGGAGGCAAAGAGAGCTCCTAACTGCTTTCAACGTGTTCCAGGGGTGGGGGTGGCACTGGCCTTTAATCCCAGCTACTTTAGAAGCTGAGCCTGAAAGATCGCAGGTCAGAGGCCAGCCTAGGCTTTTTACCAGATCTTGTCTTAAAATAAGATAGAAAAGCACAGGGCGTGTAGCTCAACTATCCCTGAGTTCAATCCTTATATCACAGGAGAAAGGAGTTGCTAGTACATACAAGGTGGGTGTGCGGGTAGAACCAGTAGTCCCAGTGACTGGGGAGTGTGAAACAAACAGGATCACTTAGCCCAGGAGTTCAAGGCCAGCTGGGGCAATCCAGCAAGATCATGTCTTAACACAGAGCAAAACAAAACAGACCCTAAGCTTGCTGCATTTAAAACTGATTAGTGTCACTGGCCTAGAAAAGTGCTTGAAACATTAAGCTACTACATAATAAAACAATCGTAACTTATTTCACCTTCATATTACTGGTGGCAAGGATGCCATACCAAGCTTTAAATACCTTTCATTCCTAAATTATGTATATCTGCCTGGATTATAGAGGAATGATCTTTAAATATTTAAAGTTCTAAAAGTTTCAGAATTGTGCTTAATATGGTATTCCACACTTTCTCTCTAGGAAAGAATATAGTGCCAAGTGGTGAGTTACTTCATCAGTCTAATGGGTCTCAACATATAATAAGAAAAATAATCTATAAGAATTGAAGGGGATTCACGCAGAACATGAGAACAATGACAGTAAATAAAATCTGAAAGGTACAACAGATACTATGAAAGGGAAAGAAACTGCTCAAAGGGAAGGAACTGGGATGAGGTAAGGAGAAAAGAAAGAAAATAGAAAAAGTTATATGTATATAAATTTTTCCCTTTCTATTTTCATATATATATATATATATATATATGACAGCTTAAATAATTATACTGCTGGTCTATTGAAAGGAGCTGCTAATGGTTGAATTTTTTTCTTTTTAATCTTTTATAATTTTTTGACCAATTTTGCATGCTTCTATCTGGTAATCTGAACAACTAATTTGTTGACAACAATACGTACAGTAACAACTATTATTGAATCCCTATCATTGTGTTTAGTGAAATTCTGTATCACATCTAATGGTTTCTTTCACTCTTTTTTATTCTCTTTAAAAAACAAGAACAAAAAGCAATGGTACTTAGGTATCTATTTGTTTACATTACAGCCTACAAAAATAATAAATGTATGTTCATGTTATTTAGTTCGGTAATGTATAAACTATGATTTTAGCACTTGAAAAACATACAGATAGCTTGAACTGAATTCTTGGAAAGTTAAAAGTCACTATGCCTTAGCCTTCCCAAATGCCATTTCTGCCCAGTATGTCTCTCTCAGATGTCACCAGTTACATATCATAACCCAAGATGATGACTGAACCACTTCTATTGTTGTGTCATACAGAACTTTCTGGCAATGTCTCATGTCAGATTTCTCAGGCTTCAGTTTAAAGAGTCCCTTCCTTAGAGTAAAGCCAACCATGTTACCAAAACATGAAACTGGAGGATTACTACATGACTGATTTTACTACTGCTGCCTTCGGAAACAATGAGTAAGCACTTCAAATTATGTCATAAGACTTCTTTTCCAAATGGCAATCTGTTCTGCCATCTCATTGACAAAATTATTAAGAGACCCTCCTTGCAATTTTTGGGTCAGTGGGGATACCACTGTTACGAACCGAGGATTTACAGAACATTGGCAAAGATCCTGAGGTATGTCGACTTGGATGGGTTTGACCTGCTTCTCACAGATTATATTGCATTTGTGGAAAAATCAGGCTACCGTTTTGAACTAAGCTTTCATCTTGAATTTACTGAAATATGTGTGAATACGATTTTGTACTGGGTTTTTGCCCGAAAAGGTAACCCTGATTTTGTGGAACTGCTTCTCAAGAAGACAAAGGACTATCTTCATGACAGAAGTTGTCACCTGGCACTGATTTGGAGGTAATACTCTCATATGTTTTACCGTAGAAAGAAAAGCGATCTTTAGGAGAAGACACTACTTTTTTCTACAACTAATACGAATAGTGGCTGTATATGGGTCAGGAATCTTACTGGTCTAATTGCTCATCTGTCCACTCCTTTATCAAATCACTATGTATTTATTAAATGTTACCTGTAAGTGTAATAATATTTGCCAAGAAATCATTAGGGCTCCTTCTCTGGGCAGTTTATGTACCAGTGCTGCATCGAATGTAGTGTTAGGCAATGCAGGTTTCTCTGCAGGCACTTCCTTTTATGCCATGCCGTGATCTCGTCTTTGAGAACACTGAGACTATAAACTGTGTACATAAGTTGACTTTTAAAGTACAATTCAGAATTTATATACATCCTCACTTAATAGCATTTATTAAACACAATTGTTCTCCATTTTTATGTTAAACACAGATAAATTTGGGGGCTGGTGAGATGGCTCAGTGGTCTAAAGCACCTACTTGGAACAAGCTTGGCAAAGCACAGGGACCATGGTTCGATCCCCCAGCACCACATGCCAGCCCTGCCCCCTGCTGGCCTTACACACACACACACACACACACACAATAAATAAATAAATAAATAAATAAATAAATAAACAGCAAAAAAAAATCCATTGCTTGTTTAAAAAAAAAAAACCACAGATAAATTTGACTCTGATTCTCTGAAACTGAGTAAAATAAAAACAGGTCCCTGATGCAATCTGTTACAAGGCCAAATTTTTAGTCTTTACCTCTCAGTCTCCCCAGTGACTACTACTGAAGGTCTTAGGAAAACAAAATCTCCATGTGACCTCTTTGTAGAGTCTGTAATACACATCCTGAAGTTACTTGCCTAGTTTGTGCTAAGTCCAATTTATTCTTTGGGTTTAGTAATTAGTCTAATTAGAAAAGGTGCATCTATTCATTAGTTCAATAAAATATTTATTGATTGCCTTGCTATGACCACAGCACCGTGCTGTGAACAAGGACAGGAGAAGGTAAAGAAAAAGCAGATAGGATCAGATAAAGATGAGACCAGCTTAGATTCTGCCCAAAATAGATTTTTCTTAATTATATATCACCATGCTACTGAAGAACCAGGGGATTGTTCTCTCTTATGGTTACCCAACTGCATGGACTGATAACTGTGGCTTGGAACTATCAACAAATAAAACCTCCAAATAGTACTTTTGTTGTTTTGAGAAATCATTATATGTGCAATTGCAGCAGAGATCAGCAATTTCTAAAGCCAAATGCCACTGGCTGGGTTAAGTAATGGGTAGATGAGCCTCAGCAGGCCCGTGGGAAGGACAAAAAAAAATGAAAAGGATTAAGTCTGGAGCAGGAGGAGGGAAATTGAAGGAAAAATAAATAAATGAAAAAAAGTAGAATACCACAAAGGATCATTGACAACTTTTGAAGTGGAGCAAGGATGCCAAGGGTGGCAACCAGGACCTCAAACAAGCTTGGCAAGTCCAGGAATTCCCAGGCCCCGGTAACCAGTGGTTTAAAGGACATTCGTAAATTTTGACACGGATGCGCTTGCAGTGTAAAATTCATTATAGGTCAGTTCTCTGTACCACAACATGACTTGGATCTTCCAGAAACCTAAGATTTTAGATTTGAATGGAGGCTGAGAATTAACATGGGCAAGTATTTATTCTGAGAAGCAGCCTCTTGTGGTGCTCACTGGTCCCCGCTGGAACAACTCTGGAAACAGTGAGTGAACTCTTGCCTGAGATCAATTGGTCCTTTGTCTGCAGTCCTTCTGTTTCCCAGCTACATGCTTTCCCAAAGAGCTGACCTGTGCCAGCACTTGAGGCACATGCAAGTGACTTATCTACAGCCCTGGCCTCTCCTCCCAGCTCCAGACTCTTCCTGCTGTCTACCTGATTCCATCTTAGCACAAATAAAACAGGACATTGACCTTGTGTTTCCTTTCCTCTGCCTGCAACCTGCTCTATCCCCTGAACTTCCTCTTGGTTCAGAGTCTCTGTTGCTCTGGGCAAAAATGTGGGATTTATTCTTGATTCTTTCCTTTCCTGCACCAACACATTAGCTAGACTTTAAAACATAGTAGCTCTACTTCTTTTCATCTCCTCCATTTCTAATCCAAACAAAGCCTAGAATATAGCAGTAGATTCTCAAAGTCTCCCAATCCCTATAACCTATTTTTGACTTGGGCATCACTTTTTGGAAAACATAAAATAGCTCACATCACCCATGCTTAAAATTCTCCAATTTTTCCACTACAAATAGTATCAAACATTACCCCTTTTGGTTAAACTAAATGCCTGGCCCCTTAATGTTTCTCACAGATGAAGTTTCATGTTACCCTCTCTTGATCTTTATAGCTCAGCCCTACACCTTTCTGCTTCTTGGCTATTCTTAAGTTTTATTCTTGCCTTGCAGTCTTATCATAACTGTTCCTGCAGGCTGAAAATCTCTTCCCCTGGCTCTCCCTGTGGCTAGCTCCTTTAATCAGCTGCACTAAAGTGTAAATATTATCTCTTCAGAGAGGCCTTTGCTGGTCACCAAATCTAAAGAGGTCACTGTCATCATCACAGTCTTGTAGTTTCACTTTCTGCACGGCACTGATCACTGATCTTTTTAGTCGCTGTCCATTATTTCTTTTTTTCTGGCTTGTTCACTGTCTTCCACTGCAAGTAAATTCCAAGGGAGCAGGAGCCTCAACTACTACTTCCCTTCGGTTCCTAGAACTATGCCTGATACAGAGCAAGTGCTTATTAAAGATTCTGTTGCAGTGAATTTTGATACAGTTTTATTTGATTCATCTTCTTCATAGTATGCTGAAATCTGCCTCCATTGCTCTGTTTCTGCCCTTAGAGCTACAAAGGCACATGTACTTTCCCTCTTTCCTACACAGAACAATCTCAAAATATGAACAGAACTGTTATGTATTCGAAATAATTACCTTAATTCTCCTACTATGTGGTGTTCTTTATTTCTAAAGAACATCATGCTTTGGTCATCCCATTCTGTACATAAGGTAGTTTGATAATTTCCCTATTACAGTGATGAAGTATTTACATAGCACCTGAGGTAGGTAGACTAACAAAAACCTATAGGAAACATTCAAATGTCACCATTGGACAGACTGTAAGTAGTCAGAGATTGGACTCATAGTGATCCACCTGTTTACAGCCTGCCAAGAGCTGGGGTTACAGGGTCTGGGGGTTCGATCCCCGGGCCTGCCATGCTGGCCCTGTCCCAGTCTCAATTGCCATCTCAGTGTGTCCTGGGGACAGGGCCAGCATGGCAGACCCGGGGATCAAACCCCCAGACCCTGTACCTGCTTGCAGGCATTTTAATCCACTGAGCTATTTGGCCAGCCCTCTATAGGTTATATTGAGGAATTGGACACTAACATCACGGTGATGTTCAGTGAAAGTCAAACTTGTACACTGGAAAGAAGTGCCAGTCCCCGTCTGAAGACCGAATTGTGGGAAGGCAGATGGCAGGAGCAGGAAAACTAGTTAGAAGAAAAGAGACATGATCAGAAGAATCCCTTGAGGTCACATTTGTACAGCCTGCATGGTGGCTTGCTTGGCTCAGACATGTGTACTTACAGTAGTTCTGAGGGGAGAGATAACTCCGCTCAGACACCATCTGCCCCAAACTCTACCACCCTTTGATCTCAGAATTAGAAAGGAAAGTTATGAGAATTTGAAGCAGAAGCAGTAGAAGAATAAAGAAGGTATTTTAAAGTGAAACAGTATGTCAGAGGAGTTAGAAATGGAAAATCAGAGAAGAAAGTGTTCAGAGATCTCAATTTGGAGACTGGTTTGTGGTTGTATCAGTTTCCATTGCTGTTGCAACAAATCACCAAACACTTACTGGTTGAATGTATGATTTTATAGGTCAGAAATCTTCTGGGGCCAAAATCAGGTTTGGCCCCTTCTCGAAGCTCTAGGGGAGACTCTGTCTCTAAGCTTTGCCACTGGTGAGAGACCACCTGGGTTCCTTGGCAGTTTCCTCCTGCCCCTAAAGCTCACACAGACGTCATCTTACTGGCGTCTCCTTCACTGACTCGGTCTCCATTGTTCTCTCATGCTTCTAACTGCCCAAGCAGTTTTGTGGAGCCCACCTGTGTGATCTCCTCTCAAGAACCTTGTCGTGATCACATCTGCAAGGTCCCTTTTGCTATACTGAGTGGCAATAGCCTACCAGAATGGTTGTGTCACAAACCTATTGAGATATCACCAGACAGTGGGCATGGTGGCACACATCTATAATCCTAGAACTCTGATAGGCTTGATCTAACAGGAAGGCTGCAAGATCAAGGATGGGCTGGGAGCTTTGTGACCCAGAAAGACCCTATCTCAAAAAAATAAGAAAGGGCTGATGATGTAGTTCAGTGTGCAGGCTCCATATTCAATCCTCAAAACAAAAACAAAATCCATGTTAATAAGGGTCAGTATCAGTTTCGTTTATATGAGTCTGCATTGCCTAAGAATTGCCAACTACCCATGTGACTAAGATAGGCAGCTAGATATAAAGCGACATTCCTGATGTCTTTCTTGTAGTATTTCCAAGATCTACTCTAGTACAGTATTTGTCCCACCTGTAAACAATTTACAGGCTATCGTCAACTGCACCGCTGTCATCTTGCTCCGAGCTAAGTGGTTTCTTTCCTTCCATTCTATAGCAAATTCTGAACAAAGGGCAGGTCACATTACACTCTTACCCTTCTTTTTCCCATCTATTTATGGTGAAAAGTGAAATATTTACACACATCCATGAAAACTTCATGGTGTGACATCTCATCTCCTCTGTCCTCTTCCCTACTATCCCTGATCCTCTTCAGCCTTTCAGCCACAAAGCCTGTGGTAGAGTGTCAACTTGTTACACCCAGCTAAACTGAACGTGGTGCTGGGTGTGGAAGGCCCAGCTGAGGATGGTTTCCAGCAGCATAAGAGGAAGAACTGGAGAAGAAGCTGTTAGGGAAGCTATTTGGAAGCTGCTAGG